AAACCAGTTTAACTCTTTTCTGTAGAAATAAAACAAATAGAGTAAAGTTTGTCAACTAATCACACAGTAATCTTTTAATCCAATTTTGATGTTTACACGATTAATAATTTAAGACTTTAAAACTTAAATTTTTTTACTCAAATAAAATGAATTATCTTTTTAATTTCAGTATATTGTAAAATATCTAATTATTGTACGCCTTATTTTGTTTGTGAAGTTTTTTCGGTAGAATGGTAATAATTATGATAGGCTAAAAACAGTTGGAATGTTAAACATTCCGTTTTCTTCTTCAGTTTGAGCCTAACTTAATTCTGATTTAGAAATAAAGAGGAATTAAATTGTTCAGTCATATTAAAACCTGATTATTCCCAATAGATGACCTGTTTCGTTGCAAGTAAATTCGGAGATTATAGTAATAAATCATAGTAAATTTAGTTAACTAATTCCTTTTAGACAAATGAAGAGAGGGAAAAGGTAATCTGAACAGTTTAATAAACACGTATGTGTATTTGTGAGTGTTCCTATGTGTGTGTGTGAGTGTGTGCGTGCGTGTGTATGCGTGTCATAATTTGTTGAATTCATCATCTTCATAAAGTTAGACAATATATCTCCAAAAATTATTGATTGCCAGATTTTTTTTCTAAGTGGCTTTCGGAGTCGATTGAGACCCCAAAACCGATTAACTTTGAAACAAGGCTGCCGTTTACGAGACACATTACTAAAACAGAAAATAAAACAAACTTTAATTTAGATTTCTTATTGAGGTTCCCCTTTGATTCGAAAATATGTATATATGGTGCAAACCGGCCACAAAGCCAGCCAGCACTGAAGAATCCTTCTCTATAATCTACCGGGTGCCTAACAAACTACCAAAATCATCGAAGCACCACATGCTGCAAACAGCAGAGGATATTGCAATTCGCCTCAAACAACCAGTGCTCCGTGTTCAAAAGAAGCAAGTCCAGCCCCTACTACTGCCCTGGCTGGCCCTCAGTAGAGACTATAAACTCATGAATTTGTACTATTATCTTTCCTAATTCTCCTGACATTCAGTTTATTTTATGTTGATGCTGTTCAGCTGTAATCTATCAATGTTATTGATTTGATGTTATTTAAACAACACTAATGTCGTCCATAACACTAATTCATTCATTCATTCACTATGATGTATATATAACTGTAGAGCTTGATGATGAATTTATCGAAAAGAGTATTCTTTGTTCAGTGTCCATTCTTTTGAAAATTTTAATAGGGATTTTTAATCAGTTAAACTAATAATCACTAGACTTTTCTAATGACTTTAAATATTAAAGCGAAAATTTCCAAAGTATAAATCATAGCGAAATTTTTCTGCAGACACTTTGTTGTATCCGAAAATGAATGCTGTAGGTCACATGAAATGTTGAATAAAGTCCACTAGTTACGTTGTTACCTTTAAATTATGTTGCTTCTTGAGGTCAGTTGACAGTGCATCCATTTCATATTAGAATTAGCAGACGAAATAAGAAAGTGAGCTTGTTTTGTAACTTTTTACCTTGTAAATGGGAGTTTTCACTTTATTGAGCAATTAAACACGAATTCACTATAATTTAATATAAAACTGTTATCTGCTGTTACGAACTCCTCAAATTAGACAGCTTCTTCTAAGTTGATAGCAACTTTTTATATTTGTCAAATTCCAGAAACTATATTTTAGCAATGACACATGTTGTGACACAAGGTGAAACTTCTTTGAATTAATAACCTAATTGTTGAAAAATCCCTGACTTTTCTGGTGACAAATGGCGTAACCTGATATTGGTTGAGGTAATAACATAGAAGTGTAGTTACACCAAACACTGTACAACATATATAAGATTTCGAGTAAGCTACTTATTACAAACATTATTGAACTGAAATGTTCACTCTTTGTTAATATGTTGGCTCTACCCGTGGATGCGTCGAAGACGCCTTAAAGTTGACATAGTGTTGTGGCTAGCAGTGACATTCAGAACAAGCTCTTCGTCTTATTTGGAGCTCATTGGCTGGATACATCCACACAATCAATGAAGTGATGGTATTCCTCCTGACATTCTAGTCAAATCTAATCGATGTGTCGACTCTTAGCCCTGATAATTAGACGAAGCCTTAAAGTCAAAAGAAACCGAGTACTTAGGTTCAATATAACTATTTAATGCGGAATCTGAAAATGATAATTTCAACGAGTAATAACAGCTACCCACTATACATGAGGCGACTGTCGTTGCCCGGGGGACAAAGCTATTATCAATTTCATCACTAGCTGTCAAGTCCCAATGCGCATCTTTGGTTCTACTGCTACTCAGCGCCAAATAAATAATACCCATTGAAAGTTGTGTATATTCTAAGGCTTAACCAACTGCAACTCTGCTGCTCTAACAGTCAGTAAAATATATTCTAGAGTACGACACTTGTTGGTAAGCATACCTGATGAAAACAACTAATATATCCACTGGAGCATTTAAGCCTACAATTAAGTAATTATTGCTTTAGTATGAAAGTGTGATGATTGACAATATCTATCTCTGTATTGTGTAAGTGCTTACTGTTGTTTGTTAATATATTTATTATATGATTTGAAATATAATTCCGCCAAATACAAATTCCTAGATTCATCCCTCTGTGTGTTTTGGTTGAATTCCTGTAATTCGGTCATTGCGAAATACGACTACTACTATCACAAATAATTATAACAGAAAGCTTACACATAGTAGGTTAATAGGCTGGATGAATGACATCTCTGAATAACAACAGTCCTTAAAAGGATTCCACTACAATTAGAGTAAAGTATACACTAATCATAATTTTCCTACCAAAAGATTAATGATTAGGTTCATCCAGGATAAATTTAAACCAATTATTGTACACATTGATAAAGAATTCACAAGGACTAACCTGATGAGTCGGTGTCACAGCAGTAGGATGCTCGCCGACCACTGATGCGGTTCGGGGTCCGTTCCCCGGCCGACGCAGTCCTTTACCTCGCTAAGCTAGTAATAAGACTGGTAAAGAGGGAAGGTTGAACATGAGATTAGCAACCCCATCACGTAAAAATAAACGCCACTGCTACAGAAACTTCAAGCCTCTAGCTTGAGGCTCTTTGTTCGACTGGGAATGTAAGGGAATAAAAGAAGCCTGATGAGTTATATTCATTTATTTTTCCTTTATTATTTGTATAGGCTAAAATTCCAGGGAAAAACAACAGTTCACACAAGAAAATGAATTAATTCGTGAATAATCTGTACTCTTTTAAACTTGCTGTAGTGAGCGCGAAAATCACTTTTTCCGATGATTGTGCCAGTAATCACGAGTATCTGAAATGATTCTAGAAAGCGTTACAGCATAATCACATGTATCCTAATAGAAAATGAACTACAGTAAATAAATTATTGTGATAATAATGCTGTGAAAATCCTTGAAAAGAATATAAAAACATCAATGATTCGTTGGTATTAGATGGTTGGAGGCAATCGGCCACAGGAAGCCTTGGACCTAGGTTTCGTGCTAGTTGCCACTTACCAGTCAGCAAGGTGTATCTGCAACCTTGAAGGAACTCATGTCCTTTCTGAGATTCGAACCCACGTCACCCAGTGAGCTATTTGGGCTAGCGATTGAGCTCCTGTAGGAATGTATTGGATACTTTTAATTGGACACCTCAGTGGTAACGTCTCTGACTGCAGCACTGGGTGACGCGGCTTTGAATCTCAGAAAGGACATGAGTTCCTTCAAGTTTGCAGATGCGCCTTGCTGACTGGTGAGTGGCAACTAGCACGAAACCTAGGTCCAAGGCTTCCTGCCGATTGCTTCCAACCATCTAATACCAATCATTCACAGTGCACTATGATGGCGAGCCACCAAGCATGGTCACATTGCAAACTTTATTGACAGAATTCAGTCTGCACCAAAGATAGGACTAAACACACACATTACACTAGTTACTGACTAGTGTCCAATCAAAAACATCAATGAGTCATTAATGAATTAATTTTACACATGAAATATTAGAACACATTATGTGTAGTGCATTAAAAATCAAATAACCTTCAAAGTCAACTTCAACCAGAAGACTAATTTCCCATATACTCTGAAAAACAAAGAGAAGGGACGAAATTTTTTTCTATTTTGTATTTGATTATAAACATGACAAGATATGAAGGCCGTGCACAATTTTGATAGCATTCACTATTTTAATTAATAAAGCCTTTCTTTAAAACTAGACATAGCTGAGGTTCTGGATATTATTTGGTAGTTTTGTTACTTTCAGAGTTTAAATTCCTTACACATGGAGCTCGGATGCCATTCTAGGCGTCATATTCAATACCCTCTCACAGAAGAAGGTTATAATCGGGTGAAATGAATTAAATTTTATATTTTGTCTGTATAAATATCCAAAGTAATTTAAGTAGCTTTTATTTAGTTTTGTAACTTCTTTCTTTCATTCCTTTGCGTGAAACATAGGGCTTCAAGCTTAAGTCTTCAAGTTTCAGTAGCAGCTGCTAGCCACATGTCCGACTTCTTCTCTTTGCCAGGCTTTCTATTGGCTAAGCAAGGTTCAGGAATGTGCTCACCGGAAGACAAACTCGGAGCACATTTGTGACTGGCGAGTGTTCTACCACTAAACCACCATCACCCTAGCTGAATGGTCTATAAGCTCGCCTTGTAACCTGACAAGGTTTGGGGGCGTAATGTTACTTTATGACTATATAGACTTAATTTCCAGTCCAGTTTTAAACCGAGAGGTAGACTGGTTTGAAAGTAAATGTTACCAGAGGTTTATATATAACACTTCCTTCTTTATCATAACAGATAATATGTTTGTTGTTTTTTTAAGAGACCCACCCATATACATAACAGTAGCTGGTCACCCTGAAGAGTCTCGCACATGGACGAAACACCTGTGTAATATGCCTTCTTAAATTATATACATATATATATATATGTAAAGAGGTCATTCTTATCAGTTTATTGTTCATCAGTATTATCCTAATCTAATCAGGAACACAGCCTTATCCAATCATTACTAGTGAATTTTCACGTTGACCAATTGAAATTGATGAATTAAATAACTTTTTTTTTAAAAAGTGAATAACTTGTTTGTTAGACAATTTTATAATTAAATTTATTCGAATGCTTGTTATAATTAAATAAATACTTTCGCAATACGCTAAGGTGTTGATGAAAAATATGTACATACTAATTGTTTTATTTATCTGTCTCCAGGCCTTGTCTATGGAATCGACTAAAACATTTTCAGCTGATAAAAGCAATACAAATAATACAAGTACTTTAAACAAACACGAAAACAATATCGAAACAATGGAAAATAATGATCTCAATGTTATTACTTTAATTGATGGAAAGCGTTTAACCGGTATAAATCTACACCTACCATTGTCTACTTTGAATTCAGTCAATGCATACTATGGGATAAAATATGCATCATTGGGGGTTCCTAGTCGAGATGGAAATCAATCACCTGAAAATAGTAGCATAACCTTTAGAAGAAACAGTTATAAAATGCCTGCATTACATCGTTTCAGTCATTCAGTTGCATCATTCTTCTATGAATCATTAAATGGTGTACATTCGTATAGTATACTGCCACCAGCATGTCCACAACACTTGATTCATATTAATATGGGAGATAAGAATATACCAAAGCCTGTAAAAGATCGATTTATACGTTTACAACCATTCCTACGTGATCAGGAAGAGGATTGTTTAACACTGAATATTTATGTGCCGCAAAACAGTAAGTGTTTCTTCATTGATTTTTTATTTATTTACTTTTGTAATTCATTCATCTTATGATATTTAAAACAAGCAATAAAGGTTAATAAATAATAATAATAAGGTTAATAAATAATAATAATGATTTTAAATTCTTATCGGGAAATAAATGTTTTCATCTTACGATAACTGACAGTTTGCCTAATAATCATCGAACTATTGAAAGGGATAACACCTAGTGACGTGAGTTGCTTTCGTTTTAAAACTTAATTTAAGTATTGATTAATGAGTGTGTAAGTAAGCCAATCTCTTGTCTATTTGATAAAGTCATTTTGCGGTAGTTTGATACAGACAATGGGTTCCAGCGGAATATTATTCCCACAGTAAGAATCATTGTATATTTTGGTGTTAACGTCTGAATACTATTCCCACAGTTCAATACCGTATTATCAACAGAATACTATGCGTGTATTTGAACATTCTGCTTCATGTCGCTTAATGTAAACCAAAATTACACGCTCAGTGACTGGTTAAGTAATATACACTGTATAGATATAAATAGAGGTTTGATCACTTGAAAATATATTTTAGTTTCCGTGTCTTGCCTTCTGCTGTTACAATTTCAACACAGTTTGTCGAAAGCCATTTACTAAACACCTAAACTAAATACGTTTGAGTAGAAATATGAATATGATAATGAAGAATTATTTGTTTTTCTTTTCTGTCTTTTTGAACACTGCTCAGTCTACTACAGTCCAGTCTAGATTAATATATTGAAAGTCGAACAGTATGAATGAATCCGTCAGATAAAACTCAGATCAAGAGTTTTCAAATTATAGTCTAAGAGTTGCAGCAATTAAGTTTCATAATTTAGCTTTATAATACTGAAAGTAATTGTCAAACTGTTTAAGCGCTGAAAAGTGATTAGTTGCTGTCATTGTTCAAATTCAAAAACTTCATACAATCCTTCAAAATAAAAAAGTTAAGAAAAGAAAGAACAACGGACGTAGCATGATAACACCATATTTCTCATTTTTTTGCGGATTCTTATCAACCGCTTACAACCTAAGCAAAACAAAATATACATTACAAACAAAAGGTTTTTGGAGAGACTTTTATCGATTTCACGAAAAGTTATTGATAATAATAATATAAGCCATGAATGGTATAAGCAGTTAAATTATTGAGCTTTCAAAAGATTCACAATTTATAGGATGATTAAACCAATAACCTGGAAAGAAGGGGGAGCTGAAAATATTAATAGAAGCAGAGTTTAACTAGGAATAATAGTATGTTGGTGTAATAGATTACTCAACTACATAGAATATCATACAATAACAACAGGAATAAGATGAGCAACGTTCAGATGAAGAATAAAAGTTTAAACAGTAGAAAATACAAAAGACTGGGTGATGTAATACAAAAAAGCTGCATAACTTTGTTCAGTAAAAATGACCACCAATGTATTAAGTGCACGGTTGACAACTGTATTCCTCTGTGTACATAGATTTTCTTTCGACTTTCGGATGACATTAGTTTCAGCTAAACGTAGTAGTCGGGGTTTCTTTTGTTCGTTGATAACTTTGAATATGCCTCCAAAAGGTGATATGTATACACACTGTTTTTAATATCACTGAACCTTTCAGTTTCAATTTCTTTCGAATGTTTTGGGAACTGCAACCAGTATCCCTTCTGTCTATTATCCCAGTTCAAGTGCTTTGGCATTCACACGAAAACTAGTGATTAAGAAATTTAAATTTCTAAGTAGTCATCTAAAAAATGAAGAAAAAGCTGAGTGGATCTAACATTAAACGGAAGTTGTCTATACTTACAGTGTGGAAATTTTACGGAACATCATTCGCATTATATCAATGCAAAGGATGAACTTCAGATGACAACCGAAATTTTCAGTACATTATGTTATTTGCACAACTGGAAAATCTTCAAGATGAAATTTCATAACCAGTGAAATGACATCAGCTGTCTGGGATAATCATCCTCATGGCTTTTTTAAATATACTGAATATTAGGTCAAACATTTCTGTCCCCTAATTTCTGTATATTTATTTTACAGACATGTCTGTGAAGGTTCACTGACTACAATCTGAATGAGGAATAAACGTAAATTTCTAGGAGTGAATTATTCAACTTTATTAAATAACAATGATGCCTACAACCATTTCCATAAATATGCTACAGCTGAATTTTGCAGTTGTTCGGTTTGTGGAGATTAGACTTATCTCAGAAAGAGTTTCGTCAAAAACTAAAGTTAGCCTTGGAAATGAAACACTCTTAATTCGAAAACTTTACTAAAAATATAAAATTCCCATTAAATTTTGGTAAAATTTTGTCTGAATGGTTTAATGTCAAAATGAATACAACTTGTCGGTAACATACAGGTTTGTATGCATAAAAATGAGTTACATCACTTATAGATTGGCAATTGACTTAACTAGGTGGCTTAATCTAAGATACGTAGGAAAAGGTTTAAATGTAAAATCCAGTGTCCCATAAAAATTACATGATATCTGGGAGTTATTTAGTTTCATTTTAAATTTTCTTAATTTGCTATAATTCTAAGAGTCATTCGCCTTGAGATTGAGTAATTAGAGTATTATTAACTAACTAATTTCTCGGTTCATAAGACTGGGGAATAATTTAAAGATTATCTAATGACAGTGCATTGTCACTAAGTGTTTCCTTCTGCAAAACTACTTAGTTTTCATCCATTGACATTATTTAAATAACCATTCAGTTACTGACCTCTTCATGTAGTTTCGCGTAGCCTCAGATAAGTGTCTGATTCAACAAATCTCCAATCATCATATTTAACTGAGTAGTTATTTTTCACGGGTCCACTTATAAGGATTTGATTTGTTTTTCTAATTTGACCACGGATTGATATTAGTTAGAGAACCATTAAAACCCAGGAAGTACTGGACAGCTGTTTCATCCTAGCTTGGGAATCATCGGCAGCACGCACCCACTGGGTTTCGAACCCAGGACCTTCCGGTTACAAGGCAAGCTTTTATACTCTTCACAGGTTGATTTGTAAGGATTTGATTTGTTTTTCGAGTTTGATCAGTGAGGTGCATCCAGTCAAGTGTGAGGATGGATTTCCCGCCGATGACATTGGTTAGTGGTCGCGCTAAATCACGAACTCGTAGAAATTAGAAGTTCTTGAGCCATTGAATTGGATCCCAGTGGCTGAATGATATACGAGCTTACCTTGTAACGAGAAGGTCCTGGGTTCAAAACCAAGTGGGTGCGTACTGCCGATGATTCTGAAACTAAGATGAAACAGCTGTCCAGTACTCCCTGGTTTCTAGTGGTTCTCTAACTGAGTGGTTATTGAAGAATGAGGAGTTTTTAATCACTTTTTTGTATGTATGACTGCTGTTTTGAAAATACTTACTTCTTTCTGATAAAAAACTTCACCGACATTTAATTTAACTCACTTGGGTGAGATTGCTAAATTATTAGGCTTAAAATGAGGGAAATTAACTAACAACCAAAACAAAATTAAATTAAAAATCATTACTTGGTGGACTCAGTAGTAATACTTGTGTACGTCATGCTCCTTTGGGTTCCGAATGGAACACAAGGCTTCATGAACACTTCTCCATTCCATCCTATTCTGTGCAATCCTTTACAATTGGCTCTACAACTGCCCATAAACTCTCATTTCCTTCTGACACCATCTAACCCATGTCAAGTTCGAACTCCTAATTCGTCGTTCCCCATTAGGGTTCTACTTGAGGGTCTGTTATTCTGTGTCACTCAACAATCACCTCATCGCATTCCCTCCTACGAACTTGTTGGGCGAGAGGTTCCCTATTGGTTCATTGCCAGAATTCCTTGTTTATTCTCTTTTCTAATAACTTAATCTTTAGTACAGAGCGAAGGTAGTTGTTAATGAAAGTCCATAGTCTGTTAAAAATGCCTTTTGAGACATGCGCACTAAATCTCGTAACTATATAGAGGAAGTGATTTGACGTTAGTGTTAAATATTCGAATCTTGTTTTTTATGCTGAGTGTAGCAGATTTCCACATTGATTCCAGATTAATGAATACCTGTCTTTCTTGGCTGGTCCTACCTTTAACATCCTTATCTATGCCACCACCAGTGGTTGAAAAGATACTGCCTAGGTTTAAGTGAAAGAGGTAACCTCCTTCAAGTTTCTTCCGTTAGTGGTGATTATTGCTTGTTGTTATTGTCAAGGTATCTTCAACACCTCTACCTTCTCTATGTCCATTTGGAGTCCTGTCTTCAGTGTCCGCCTCTTCTGCCAAATTGTCTGCCTTCGCCTGTGTATGTGATACTAGATAAAAAACCATCTGCGAAGTCCAGATCTTCTAGTGTCTTTCCGTCTTTTTGCTTCCCACTGTCTGTCGCATGATCCAGTCCACCACAATCAGAAATATCATCAGTGATGCTGGGCAGCCTTTTCTTACTTTTGTCTTTACTTTAAAGGCTTCGCTGAGCTTTCCGTTTTGTATGTATCGTGAATTAAAGCCGAAAGTATATCGCTTATCCCTAGTCTAATGCTTCGTTCGTTTATTTTCTTTAAAAAGTGAGTTGATGTAACATGCGCTTCAAAGAAAATACAGACAGTGTTTTTCATTACTTTGAACAGGCTCAAATAAAATTTTACATCCTAGCACAAATCAGTTTATTTCCCAAATAATACTGAACATCATTCATTGTAATTGTAACTTTATCCTAAACATCACGGTACTACAGCTTTGAAATGAAAGTCTGCTTAATTCACTTTGCAAGTGTATCCATCATCTAATTACTTTAGAAGACAAGAATATTTTTGAATTATCGTATTTTAGAAGACAGAGATTTAATTATAAGTTAACGCAACTGAATCTTGTATCATTTTTTCCACCCTAAATTTAATTATCTAGACGTTGGAATTTAGTTGTTTTAAATATATGAATATTTAAAATGTAAGGTAGATAGTTTCAGTTGAAAAATTAAAATAAATTCTATTCTTAACACAGGGAATATTAAGT